TTCTCTATGACATGACTCTGATAACTTCAAGCCTACTACGTGGGTCACCTGGAGGGCTGGGGGACCACGTTTAAAATACAAGAATCAGTCCTTAAGGAGACAGCACTTTAAAAAATTCACTGTTTTCTGGAAATAGTTAGAAATTGAGGTGTTATAAAGGAGACTATATTCCAAAATCACACTGACTGACAGAGGTATGCTGGAGTCAGCTCATACTGGCTTATGAGAGCTGATCATTGAATTTTCAAGACTTTGTGAGCTGGTTGTTAAACACAGCCCTCATTAAATATTATAGTATATAAATTTACAATTAAAGAAATTATGTTCAAGGTAAAGTTAATAAAGACTCCAAACTCATCATTTCCTGATTATTTTGCTACATTTTACTCTATGCTCTTGACTATTTTTATCCATTGTTCATCTATGATAGAAGTAATATACAAGGGGATGCTACTATACAACCCTTTTCAACTCTACATTCAGTGACATCATGTTAGGATTTCCATGGAGTATTTACACCATAGATCTTGGTAGACACTATCAATCAGAGTTTTTTCCTTATAAAATATTTACTAGCATACTCCTGGCTGGTTTTTAAATGTAAAATGAGAATGATAACAATAAGTGCATTATTAGCTTTGTATGAGGTTATAATAATGTAATTCATATAAGAAGCCTGGCTCAAGGCAAATCAGTCAATGATTTGGCTATGACTATGTCCTTCCCTGCCCTGTTAATTAGAGCATATAAAATAGCATATTATCTTAGGGCAATATTAAATATCATATCATCCTATCAGAGCAATCCTTAGAAGTATGAAGTAATATTGCATTGTGCTATCAGTACATTTGTAGAAAGAGATGAAGCCCTGTGGCACATGGGATAGAATGATGTTGTTACTTGACTCTTGCATGTGAAAAGCATGCCTCACCCTCCAGATCCCAGACTCTGGGAAAATCCTTGTATCACATCAGCTTGCTCAGGGTTTTCTGCTGAGACTTCAGCTGCCTCTACCTTTCTCTCGTGTTTTCCTCTTCCACTTTTTGCTTCCAACACTTGCTAGGGGTGGCCTCTCCCTTGGTCTTCAGAGATCATTGAGGTACTTGCTAGAGATGATCATTAGTACCTCAGTGATCTCTGAAGACCAAGGACAGGCCACCCCTAGTCTTTTATCTTCCCTTTTTGAGAGCGAACTGCCATCTCTCTGATACCAATGTGGTTCCTGCTTTTATACCACACCACCACAGTTTATTTCTGTGCCACCTGATGCCATTCCAATTTTTCATCTTTCTTCTCTCAGCTTCATTTTTCTTTTTCTCTTTTTGTCTCCATTGTCTTATAGACACCTCTTTCAAAGCAGAAACCATTTTGAAAAACCATTTCCCTGCTTGTCCTATGACTCATTTGAAACTCTTAAACCCCTACTATATACAGAACACATGTACTTGATACATATTCAGAATGAAGAAGCAATTTGTGCCAAGAGTTACAATATAGAGATATAAGAGCTACAGAAGAAAAAAAGGTTACATCTCAGAGGGGGTGGTGAGGAGAAGGCAGGAAAGGTCAAGAATAATCCCACTTATTTGCAGTTTTGGGATCTTTCTGGGGGCCTGGCAATGCTGATAGACAGATAACTGAAATTTTAGTTCACACAATGCCCTGTGTATCCCAAATTATTTCTTGGACAGCTAATTTCTTTAACTGTATTATATTGTAATTTCATTAAGCGCAGAGGTAATTCTGTCAAATCAACCTCATTTTACTCCTAAGGAGCACATGTGTTTAAAGGCAGCTCAGTGCCTCATCGATAAAAAGTTTGCATCAAATGCTTATTGAACAAAAGAATAAGCAATCCATGACTTGAGCTGAGGTTCATATAACCTCTATTGAGGAAAATCCTAATTATATTTTTAGAGATTCATAGAAATTCAGGAGTGAAAAATATCTTAAGGATTATTCGGTTTAGTAATTCCCAAATCTGGGATGTATTATAATTGAATAGGGGTGTGTTGGGATGGGTTATTTTTAGAATGTAGACTCCTGACCTCTTCCCCAGACCAACTGAATTAGAATCTGTATGTTTTGGGAACTAGAATCTTTGTGTTTTGGAAACTGTGTTCTAGCCTTTACCAGGCCCCACTGCTTCTGCTGGGCTGTCAGGTGTTGGATCCACCAATGAAGTCTGATTTCATCTAGTCTCTGACAATTCATTTTTTTCTCCTAAGATTATAATAATAACAACTCTGCAAACACAATATGTTTTCTGGGTGTCCCCAAATCTCCAGCAATCTGGGATTATCTTTGCTCTTAGTGGCAAAGGGAAATGACTTGTGCCCCCTCCTCATATTTATGTGAGTGCCTAAAGGGAGTTGGGTTTGTTTGAATCTTTCCATGCTTGAAATTTTTCCTTCTAACTCTCCAAGCTCTAATTCTCCCTCAAGCTTGCAGGGCCATTCTCTCTCTCCCATTCTGCCTGTCACTGCTAATAAAAAATCACTAGAAAGGGTATTTATAAAAGTTTGGGGAGGCCAGGCACCATGGTTTACGCCTGTAATCCCAGCACTTTGAGAAGACAAGGTGGGCAGATTATGAGGTCAGGGGATCGAGACCATCCTGGCTAACATGGTGAAACCCTATCTCTACTAAAAATACAAAAAATTAGCTGGGCATGTTGGCACATGCCTGTAGTATCAGCCACTCGGGAGGCTGAGGCAGGAGAATCACTTGAACCCAGGAGGCGGAGATTCCAGTGAGCCGAGATTGTGCCACTGCACTCCAGCCTGGGTGCCAGAACAGGACTCCATCTCAAAAATAAATAAATAAAATAAAAGTTTGAGGAAAATTTTTTTTTTTTTTTTTTTTTTTGAGATGGAGTTTTGCTCTTGCTACCCAGGCTGGAGTGCAATGGCGCGATCTCGGCTCACCGCAACCTCCGCCTCCTGGGTTCAGGCAATTCTCCTGCCTCAGCCTCCCGAGCAGCTGGGATTACAGGCACGCACCACCGTGCCCAGCTAATATTTTGTAATTTTAGTAGAGACAGGGTTTCACCATGTTGACCAAGATGGTCTCGATCTGTTGACCTCGTGATCCACCCGCCTCAGCCTCCCAAAGTGCTGGGATTACAGGCTTGAGCCACCGCGCCCGGCCCGAGGAAAATTATTTAACAATTATGTACTGAGAATCATTCTGTGCTAGACAATGAGCAGACAATAAATGTAAGTTCCTCACAATCCAAAACAAAACAAAACAAACATGATCCTTATCATCACAAAGTATGCAGTCAATTGGCTGATGCAGATATTATTAACCCAATAGTTACCAAAAATATGTACAAAACCTCAGCTGATGCAGATGAAGCATCAAGAGTTGTTATAAAGGAGAGATACATGGTGAAATAAAAGTAACAGTAGGGATTGACCTATTTGGCACTTAAGAAATGGCTTCCTCAAAGAAGTGATAACTAACCTGAAAACCATCTACAGAAACAGCACATGAAAAGTTTTGTGACGGGGCAGGTGGCAACTATAAAAAGACCTGTATGATGTACCTCAGAGAGAAAGTAGAAATGTAGTACAGGATGGGGCTGGTGAGGAGGATGAGCCTGCAAAAGAGACAGGAAGGGCTGGAGGCAATCTGAGATGGGATAGCTACAGAAGAGCCAAGCAAGGAGAAAATTCAAGGAGGAGCTGATCAATAAGCCAAATGCTTGAGGGTCAAATAAATAAAGTGAGCTCTGAATAATTCTCATCGGATTTAGCCTCTTCAGGTCATTAATAACCTACAGAGCCAGGGCTGTTTTTGATGGTGTGGTGGAGATGAAAGTCAGATTGAAGCAGGTTGTGAGATGAATGTGTAGGGAGAACATGGAAAAAGAAAAGACAAACCGTAGTGGTTTTCAGATCCTTAACTGTGAAGGAGAGAAGGGATGGCAGGGAAAGAGTGAAGTTGAAGGAAATTTTTAAAGATTGAAGTGCTGCTTATTTTATTTTATTTTACTTTACTTTATTTTGTTTTTCGAGATAGAGTCTCACTCTCACTGTGTCTCCCATTCTGGAGTGCAGTGGCGTGATCTCAGCTCCCTGCAACCTCTGCCTTCATGGTACGAGCAATTCTTCTGCCTGAGTCTCCTGAGTAGGTGGGACTACAGGCGTATGCCAGCATGTCTGGCTATTTTTTTCTATTTTTAGTAGAGACGGAGTTTCACCATGTTAGCCAGGATGGTCTCAATCTTCTGACCTCATGTTCCGCCTGCCTCGGCCTCCCAAAGTTCTTAGCTCCTATTTGAAAGCTAATAGAAAGGACCCAAATGGGAAACATTAAATACACAAAAAGGAGGAGTAGTCAACACTAAAGTTACTGCAGTGGCGGAGTAGATGGAAGGGTTGGCTCTAGAGAGCAAGCAGACAGCATCTTCACTGCAAAGTAGCGGAGGAGGTGATTATGGGAGGAGAGAAGCAGGTACACAGCCAAGCCCAGCACATACCTTAAACCTCAGGATGGGACTGCTCCATCCTAGAGCCTACCAGCTCCTGCTGCCTTCAGGAACTTCTTGTAACCAACTTTCTTTCCAGTTCCCACCTGTTGGTATGCTGCTCATAAACACCACAGCCCTTCGTCTTTCTCACTTGCTCCTTCTGTCTTGTCTTTCCCTTCCTCCATTCTTCTCCCCCTTCACCTTCTCTTCTTTCCTCATGTCTTTCCTCTTCTCATCACTTTCTTTTTAGTTTTTGCGCCACTAATCCCTTTTCTTCCATGCTTCCCAGGAGGACTCATAACCCCTAACAACATGTAACATGTAGAAAAATGCCGTATCCTCTGTATTTAGCCCCAGTCCTTCAGATGGTGCCTGGCAAGCCCAGCCTTTTCCACCAAAAGGTTCAAGGTCCATGATCATATTTTATCTTAATAGAGCTGAGCCATGCCTCTCCCCAAGAAAGCAAAACTTCCTCTTTTCTTCTATTTATTTTAATAAAATGTATCCTTCCCAGTGTACTCACCTTACAGAGTTGCTGTAATGATAGTCAAAACATTTAAGTTGTACGGTAAATCACTTCCCATTTTTAAACAGCATAATAAAATCATTTTGCCACATCATGCTCTCATAAATTACCCTAAAACAAGAAAAATTATCAAGAAAAGTAGAAATTTCATCTTTAATAAAACTAAGAGACAGCCGTTTCCCTGAACCACAATATATAAAGTATACAGCAGATGGAAGAGTGATGATATGCAGTATCTGATTCACTTTCAATATTTGCATTTAGTTAAGTAACAACCTGAAAGCTTTTCTCTAAGCTATGGACCTATATTTTATTTATATCAGCAAAACTAACAGGTTTATTTAAACAGTTTTTCCAAAATAAGGGTTAGACTATTCAGATATAAAGCCAACTTTTATGTCTTAAGAGCTAGAAAATCTCTTGCTTTTTTGGTGATGGTAGCTTTTTATGGCAAACAATCTTCCAGATTTCTAAAAATATCTTAGGGTTTGGTTTTAAAAAACAGGGGCCGGCTGGGCACTGTGGCTCAAGCCTGTAATCCTAGCACTTTGGGAGGCCAAGGCGGGTGGATCACGAGGTCAAGAGATCGAGACCATCTTAGTCAACATGGTGAAACCCCGTCTCTACTAAAAATACAAAAAATTAGCTGGGCATGGTGGCACGTGCCTGTAATCCCAGCTACTCAGGAGGCTGAGGCAGGAGAATTGTCAGAACCCAGGAGACGGAGGTTGCAGTGAGCCAAGATCGCGCCATTGCACCCAGCCTGGGTAACAAGAGCGAAACTCCGTCTCAAAATAAAAAAAAAACAAAAAACATGGGCCTTATTATTTCTTTTCCTTTTTTTTTTTTTTTTTTTTTTTTAATGAGATAGAGTCTTGCTTTGTTGCCTAGGCTGGAGTGCAGTGGCATAATCTTTGCTCACTACAACCTCCACCTCTCAAGTTCGAGTGATTCTCCTGCCTCAGCCTCTTGAGTAGCTGGGATTACAGACTTGTGCCCCCATGCCCAACTAATTTTTGTATTTTTAGTAGATAAGGGGTTTCACCATGTTGGCCAAACTGGTCTTGAACTCCTGACCTTGTGATCTGCCCACCTCGGCCTCCCAAAGTGCTAGGATTACAGGTGTGAGCCACTGTGCCCAGCAAGGGCCCTATTTTTTCTAAATACCCTGGATAATTACCCCTGTAGAATGAGTCATCAACAAGGTCATAACTCTTTCTTTGGTTTATTTCTTAATATGAGAACGGAAAGCTTCCTGATGTCAAATATAGTGTCCACAATCAGATATTACATGTTTACCTTTTGGGTTAAATAAAGTAATTCAAGGGAAACATGGGCTTGAGAACCCTAAGATTCTGCCTGACTTTTTCATCACCAGTGCCAATGGACATTTTTAGCTCAGGCATCGTACTTCTGTGGCACTTTTCACTGAGCTCATAACACAGTGGGGGAAGTGCCAAGTTGGCTTCATATATAGGACATTTAGGAATTGTCTTTTAAGGGAGTTTAATTGGTCTTCCCTGGAGTAATACAAGTCAGGGCAAGATGTTCTTACTCCTACATAATGAATATTGATACAGGAAGAAGACTGATAAGTGATTCCACCCCTCACCCCATAACCCAGTACTTGCCATAAAAAAGATAAAGCCGACGTCCAGATACTCAGAACCAGGAGAGCTGCACAATTCGTTCCTCTTTTGCTTTGTTTGTATACTAATAGTAATAAAAGAAGTTGAAGAACAGTTTTCCCTCACAGAGTTCCCTCCTTGCACAATAAACATGTGGACAAAATTCTTTCTGATCTGCACCAAGCCTCTCTGATTGCCCTCAGAGGGAGCTCCGCCTGGGAACATTTGCAGAATATTTGATAACTAACTGTGCTGTGGTTCGCAGATACGTGGTGCGCATCCAAGCAAGAAAATTTAGCCTTTGCACTCTGGGAATTGACTGACCTAATTAGTCGATTCAGACCTTTCATCATGAGAAAACAATTTATGCCTCTCTCAGCCCCATTTATGGATAATGGGACAACTGAGAAAACAGGAGATTAAGGTAAATAAGGAGAATGAATTGAGCTGGGACATAAATTTCAGTTACCACTTTGGACTAATTAAGGGATAAGGCTGGTTTGAAACAGTGAAAATTCTAATTAAGGGACATTTTTAAAGAATGTAATGTTACTTTCAAACATGAATAATCTCCATCAATAATGGTTGAAAACAGGCAGAGGTCATCCCAGGCCTATTTGGAAGAACGGAAAAGGTTGTCTCAAATTTGTATACCACTTGCAGAAACCATTGCTGAAGGGCTTGGACAACTTTGCATTCTTTCAAAGGATATCAACAATAATGTGGACTCTCTTTTTGTGGCCCTCAAAGTTAACTTCTTCACTCCATTTATTCATTCATTCAACAGATATTTTTTGAGAACATTTTAAATATCAGGATACAGAACTGAACAAAAAGAAAAGCTTGTCCTTCATGGAGCTTTGAGAGAAATAGGCAATACACAAGTACATCATTAAAACGTATAGCATGTCAGATGCTGTTGAGTGATAGGGAGGACATAAATTGAGTGGGAGGAGAATAAGAAATAGTGGGAGTGTAAAGAGACATGGGAGGGGTAAAGAGACAGGGCAGGGTTGCAGTTTCAAACAGCAGGCTTTGAATAGGCTTTTTGGAGAAAGTTATGTTTGAGTAAAAACCTGAAGGCCATTGGGAAGCAAGCCATGAATTCATGAGAGAATAAGTATGCCAAGTAGAGGGAAGAGCCAATGCAAAGGCCCTGAGGCAGGAACACTTCGGACAAGGACCAGAGGTAGTAAGAAGACTGGTGTGGATGTAGGAAAGTGAAAAAGGAAGAGAGTTTTATGGATGAGAGAGGAAATCAGTAGAAATGGGGGAATCAGATTGCATAGGGCTGTCTAGGGGATTATAAAGACTTCACTGATGCTTCAGACCATGGAGGTATATGCATTAAGATGTATAGCTTATGACTTTTTCTAAGTTAAAAGTTGGATTTGGTCAAAGTCGCTAGCCTTTGGGTAGTCTCAAACATGCTAAGGTGACTCCTAAAATAACTACTTAAATAGCAGATAATGAGAATTGTTCTGAATGTCTAAAATTGCAGATCTCATTCCCAGTCAAAACTGCTAGTGAAAAGTAACCTAACTGACAAAGAATGATCAGAGAGGCTTGGTGCAGATCAGAAAGAATTCTGTCCACGTTTATTGTGCAAGGAGGGAACTCTGTGAGGGAAAACTGTTCTTCAACTTCTTTTATTACTATTAATATAAAAACAAAGCAAAAGAAGAGCATTGTGCAGCTCTCCTTGTTCTGAGTATCTGGACATCGGCTTTATCTTTTTTACGGCAAGTACTTGTTTGTGGGGTGAGGGGTGGAATCACTTATCAGTCATCTTCCTGTATCAATATTCATTATGTAGGAGTAACATCTTGCCCTGACTTGTATTTCTCCCCAAAGAAAAGCAGCATTTAACTATGGGAATGTTTAGAATTAGTTTAAAAATGCTTAGAGGAATCAGAACCATAGTATTTATATTATGTTTAGAATTTATGCATAATTCATATTACATATATCATTTCAAATATATAACAGAATAGATTTTGGTGAATATTTCTAAGGTTATATATATCACCAGAATATTAAAACAATCTAGTTTCACCATATAAAGTTAATTTGATTTATCTGAGTTTCTTAAGTATTTTGCAAGGGTCTATCATTCAGAAATTTTATCTTAAAAGAAAATACAATGTATTAAATTTATAAACAATGTTTGCATATTGAAAGCATTTAGGTTACCAAGTTTATAAGTGGAAATCAGCTGGTATTATTCAAATCTCTTATAACAATCAGTTGTAAATTTGCTAGATTTTTAAATTAGAATAAGAAGTCAAACATAAAAACTCAAGGAAGAATTCAATTTCAGCATCTGTAACTTTAATAAACGGTTATTAATAAAGTATATCGAATAATCTTTTCTGCACACAAACTACCCTTAATTGTACCAAAATGCTTAAGTTTATCAGCAGTCATTTACTGTGTTGTTTCTAAAGCTCCATTTTCTTGCCTTGTTCCTTTCACTACACTTTTTCCCACTCACAGACCTTCAGTTGCAGCACATATTTTAATGAAATTACTATTTAGAAAAGAAAAGATTTCAAGTAGGATTCTGAAAAATTTCTGGGTGTGCCTACAGGGAATTGTGCGGCAGTGTTCATGCTGTCTTTTATGCCTTTGGGTGGGTTTTCCTTTGTTAATAATTATTCTCCTGGAAAACTGGAATGCAGCCCAGGCAGAATTAATTTACAAGATTACAAGTTATACACATCTCTTCCGGAGCAATTGGTCTTCCATTACACACCTTATTTCCTAAGATTTATCATTTTATAGCAAGAAATGTACCTTGTATGATAAAGAACATTGTGCTCCAGCTTGCGTCAGGCTAATGAGATATGAATTAAAGGATAATATGTATTCACCTGAATTAATTAGATAACTATGTTGCTCCATTTGAGGGGAGGCATTTTTAAATAGTCTTGAAAATTACATTATAATCTACATCTTGAATTTCTGTTTTTGGTGCCCTTTGAAGCAAATCACTCCTTGTGATGACTCACTCACTCTGTATACTTCTGGATCTTCAGCCATGTTTGGGCCAGACTTCAGAGCTTTTAGGAGCTGGCTTTAAGAATGAAACAGGCCCCTAGAGTTTGTTTGTTTATACATATTTATTTTTTCTCCACAAACATATTAAGCAATAAAAGAATTGTCAACATTTAGAAAGATTAGCTTAAATAATGCTTGAAGACTTATACATTTAGCTTTTATATTCATCTTCTTTTATTCTGCTGCTTATTCCTTATATAATTCATCAGTTCATGATTTTTGACATTACAATTTTATGACTTTTTGTAATAGAAACACATGTTTTTTCTAATATCTGCAGGGGGAACTGGTGGAATGCCACCGAATGGAGAAATCATTACCTTAATGCATGCCAGTGAAATAAAACTCAAGAAACTACATGCACAGGAATCATAAAATGCTGTCAATTACTTTAGAGCATTTTTTTGAGGAAAAATAGGTTTGATAAAACTGAATGTTTTTTGTAATTGGAGGGAAAAGGTTTGGTCTTTCCTATGTTTTACCTAGGCTTCTTCAAGAGGGCTTCCTGGCACCATCAACATTTTCATCCCAGAAAAGGGCATTTCTTCTGCTCCAAGCCCTCCAAATCCTGTCCCTGTCCCAAATTCCTCCTTTCCCAGCTCAGTAAGAGTGTTTCTCTCATAATTCCATGGAAACTTGTGCGTATCTCTATTCTGATACATCACAATATGTCAATATTGAAATATTATTTATTTTTCTTCTCCATTAGATTAGATCCTTGAAGACAAGATATATTATACATATAACATGATAAAAATTATCAACAAGTGGAGCCTGTTGTGATAGGCTATGTGGAATGGAGAAGGCAATCAAGAGCCGAAATATTAGGGACAGGGCAACAGAAATGAGAGAGGGTTCTATTGTGGCAAAGTGTGAGATATTCCTACAAGGCTCAGGGTACCTGAATCTAGCAGAGGACCAAGAAGCTTGGTGAAAATTTACCAAGATCAGTCAAGAATTTCTGTGACTGATGGAAGTAAAAGTCACAATTTCTACTG